AAGAAGGAGGTCTTGATTGTTTCAGTTGTCGAAAAGATCCCATCAAACTAAATTTAGCTCTAAGTCAATCCAACCTAATTCTGAAGGGGAAGAGGAATGTAGAGAGCAGTGGTTCACTGAAAAGCAAGTGCTGAACCCAAGAGCAGTGAATTGGATTATCTTTTATCAAATGCTTTGAAAAACATAAGATAATGACTCTTTACAGATTCAATGGCATCAACTGATACCTCATTCTTGCCCCTTTGAATTTGGGAGTTGCATGCAAATCAGATTGGAAGCCCTATTTTATACCAATATGAAAATGTTGATTCCTTGCACCTGAAGTCAGGGCAAAGCTGGATCCAGGACTGATTCTTGGTAGCTTTTGGAGATGAATGCAGTGTTTACATAAATTTGCCATCAAGATATTGAATTAAGAAGGGTAAAATCCATGATAATTTAGAACATATATAGCCTGTGATTAGAATGGTTTGATGAGCTGAAAGACCAAATCGTTTTTTTCAGAAAACAGGTTTTTACTGTTTAGTTGCACTTGGACTAATTTGCAGCATGTAAATTTCTGATTCCCATCCTCTCACATACGGAATAAACGAAGCAAATTCTACCTCCCTGAAACAAGGTTGTCTTGTAAATAAGGAAATTCCAACTTTTGAAACTTCGTTAGAGTTGAAGACTCCAAGACAGTGTAGAATTTGACCTTCAGGGTCCTGAACTGGTACAGTAGCCGGCAAAAGTGAATGCCTTGGAATGAAATACCTCAATCTGTTATCTTAGCACTTCTAAAATAAATAGGTTAATGCCTCTGCTAAAATAACCAAAAGAAGAGTTTTGGACAACTGCATTAAGCAATTATACTGGGTGATTTCAAGGCCTTTGACATAGAGACATAGAATAATAAATTTCTGGGAATGATTACGATGCAGTTGTCTGGTCAAGAATAATTGGCTGGAATCAGAACCTCCCAAAGCAAGTCTTGCATGGTCTATTTTACACCATATATCAATAAATGCGTTTACAGCTTTAAAATCAAAGCAGGGTCTGCTTCTCTTGCAATGTGCACTGTGAACATCATGGGTGCTTCTTTATTCTGCTTAGCAATTCTTTCTGGATGAGAGCAGCTGACAGTGAATGACCAGTGCATGCCATACAGTTGATGGATGATGACAGCGATATTATAGAACATATAATTCTGACATATTCACAGCAAGTTTATTGAGATGTAAGTAACTAATTACTTATTAATTATTTTAAGTAAGGGTGGCAACTTCTAACAGGTTAGTGTCTACGGCACAAGCTCTTCTCATATTAGCAATCTTGGTCATAAAGATGGCTGGGAGCTAGAAGAATTCATGGTTCTGTCACATGAAAGTTAATACATATTGTTGGGACAATGCTGAGGAAACTGCTGTACATTTGGCTATAATGCCAGATTTGGAAAAGTCTTCCATTTTCCAGCTTTTTTTGCTAATAAAACTAATTAAAACTGATCTGAAAAAAGACTATGAGGAAAAAATAATGTAGCCACTATTTACTATATATATAAGATTGGAAGCAATAGTGCAAAATATATACTGTTGTGATAAAACTGGTTTACTATTGACTTATTAATGTTAAAATGATTGCACTTTGCTAATTATGAAAAATGTCTTCCTCCATGTACCATTAACTGTAGCAAAATTACAAATACATTTACAGTTGCCATCCTAAGCAATCAAAGGAAATTTTTCTCCCACGTAGGTAAATCTAATTTTTACACTATAATAAAATGCCTTTTCATGCATGAGTTAGCAAGTAAAATAGTATTTTAAGTGACTTAGGAATAGAGGTTTTGTTAAAAATTGACCAGAACCAGTATTATATTGCACAAAGCTAGAAAATGAGAGAAACAGGGCAATATGTTGCACTAAAAAAAATTCGTTTTGGTTAGCAATCCAGGATACAGAGACACAGATTTTAAGTACAGACTTATGTGCACTGTGGTCTCAATTGCATGCTGTCAGATGGGAGTCCATCCTTCTTTGTCACCTATTTAAACCTTGGCCGTTTTAATGGAATTACAAGCATTATGAAAACTTTCAATTAGACCCCAAATTGAACAGAATGAATAGGGTGAAAGTAAAAGAAATTTTAACATAAGTAACTTAGTTGTGAAAAATTCAGAAGTGTCTTTTCAAATTTTCTCCATTGTGACTGAGAATGATGCAAGTGATAAGATGGGCTGATATTTTTCCATGGATGACAAGCAATTGAAATTTTCAGTGGTTATATGTATGCATAGCTAAGAATCGTAGAATCCTTAGTGTGGAAACAGGCCCTTTGGCCCAACAAGTCTGCACCAACCCTCAGAGCATCCCACCCAGACCCATCCCACTATAACCCACATAAATCTACACATCCCTGAACACTACAGGCAATTTAGCATGGCCAATCCACCTAGCCTGCACATCTTTGGACTATGGGAGGAAACCCACGCAGACGTGGGGAGAATGTGCAAACTCTGCACAGACAGTTGCCCGAGGGTGGAATCAAACCCAGGACCCTGGCGCCGTGAGGCAGCAGTGCTAACCACTGAGCCACCATCCCTTCCTCATCCCCACTCAGGTGAAGTGGCCACCAGTTCATGAAGGGTATGAGCCTGCACCAGCACACTGAAAGTTTGATTGTTCTTTGGGTTAATGTCCTGTATGGATATGGTACAAATATTTCACTTTGGACTGGGATCTTGTACAAGAAATTGCAAATGTATTTGAAAAGGCCCCTTTTCCCCTGTCCACAGTTGTACACTCATTAAGCAAAACTGTTTCTCGTAAAGATTTGTCCCTTGAACTCAACACAGTGATAAATTGTGCCTCCCGAACCCACTGTCCTGGGATGTAATTCCAACCTTCTCCATTTCAAAGAGGTCAGAAGCAGCTACCACAGTACCTGTGTAAAAAACTCCTAACAATTTTTTTTCCTATTTATTACCAATTATGTAGCACCTTGAACCGACAGCTTTCTTGGGTTTTCGCATGGATTATAGTTTTTAAAGTAAACCCATTTGGGAGTTTCGATTATACTAGCACTGTTGGTGATGTGGGCCTCAAACTGTGTTCATTGAAGCCATACTGAAGTTAGACGGGGTAAGATTCCATCCGAGAGCTCCTTTATTTGTGAGGGAAGATTTTATTGCAGATCCTTATTTTCTTTCTGATGTGCAATTAAAATTCCAAGAGGAAGAGAAATTTTGTTTATATCTTTTGACAATTTATTTTATACTTTCAGGAAACAGACCACAACCAAGATATTTGAACCACTTGGGATTTTTTTTTCTAAATAGGAGGAAAGCCACAAAGTCAATATGAAATGCATTAACTGAGATTCGTGTTGATTACATTTTTTTTTAAAAAGTAGTAAAATAACACTTTGCACTGAACAGAAATTTCCCCCTTTTGCACCCAGCTCAGTTTCTTGTCTGCTCCCACTGATTTGCAGTTCAGACTGTATCTCTCAACTGTCTTATTTTAAGTGGGACGTTCCAATTCTAAAGAGTGTTTCTGAAGAAAGCAGCAGTGACAATGAGAAATACCAAAGCCGAGAAAATCAGCCTGTTTGGTGGGCCTACAAAAGAAAATAGTTCCACGGTCAGCTTTCAACACACTGCAGTTTGAGAGATATGGTTCAAACTAATTTGAAAACCTACATCTGTATTCTTCTTTTCTGTTGTATGATCTGTGAAAATCCAAAATGCACAAATATGGTACAATATTTCTGCAAATGCCATTTCTTTCCTGTTGACACTAAATACTTTTGAAACTGTGCCTTATTTATAACCTTGATGTTTTAGATAATTAATGTGTACATGTGCGTAGAAGTACTTGGTTATCTCCGTTAGTAATGTAAAAAATTGTCATCCTAAAAGTGTGAAATTTGTTTTGTCTATTCTGCGTGGTTTGCCAATATAGAAACCTCAGCATTAGCATATCTGTAAATTTATACACTACCTTCCCTTGTTAGGGTTTTCTTTTTATAAAAAGAGGCAAAGGAAAGCAACTTCAGAGTTTGAGATTGAGATTAATGTTCAATTTATTCTTGATGATAAACTGGACAAATTTATATATTAAATATGAAAAGCTCCAGCGTAGTTGAGTAACACTGTTTCCAGTGTTGATTATTTATAGCAATAGGTCTTTTTTATTGTTAAAACACTCATTATTCAGCTGGTGACGCAAACTGTACCGAATGACTGAAGATTTGAGTTGAAAGACTGCCATTTTTTTCACAGTAATTCTAGCTCTATGCAAACACTTCGGGGACATCTATGAAAATGTGAGCTACTGTATAGCAACTTAAAAACTGCTCAATTTTTTAACGTATTGTAACTGTTAATGATAAAAATTATTATAGAAATGTAATAGGTAAAATCTGTGTTTGTTGTTATGATGTGCTTTCTTGATTGATTGCTGGAAATAATCATGTAGTGTGAAATATGCTGGTTGCTTGTGTTATAGCATGGCTTTACATACGCTGAATTTGCTTTGGACTTTTGAAATTAAATAAAGACGTCTAAAGAGATTATAATTTCTTTCATAATTTAGCAACTTTTCTCAATTCTTCCA